GGGATCAGGCGGGGGAGGGGGGCCCCCCCCCCCCCGGGAGCTTTTGCCCCGCCCCCCCCACCCCGACCCCGCAGAGCCTCCGCCGCTCGGCTCTCGGAGCAACTTTGCCCGGGGAAGGCGAGAGCCTAGCGGCGGGATCAGGCGGGGGAGGGGGGCCCCCCCCCCCCCGGGAGCTTTTGCCCCGCCCCCCCCACCCCGACCCCGCAGAGCCTCCGCCGCTCGGCTCTCGGAGCAACTTTGCCCGGGGAAGGCGAGAGCCTAGCGGCGGGATCGGGCGGGGACGGAGCCCCCTCCCCCCGCGGCATGGCGTGTCCTCCTCCTCCTCCTCCTCCTCCTCCTCGCAACCTGGGACAGAGACCCTTTAAGAGGTGGGGGCAGCGCCTGGAAGGCTTGGCCAGGGGATGATTTCAGGAGCGGGCCGCTAGGACAGCCGCCTTAGACGCCCTAAGAAGAAGAGCGCACTTCGATCCGGGGGGGAAACACGGACCACCAAAGCCCACCGCCCAACTGTTAGTACTTTGGCCGAGTGAATGAGATTTCCACCCCCTCTTCCTTCTCCTCCGTGTCTCTCCCCCCACCCATCCGTGCCCCGGGCGTGGAGCAAAGTAGGATGGTGGTGCACAACGCTGAGCTTCGCCTGCCGCTGACTTGCCTCCTGCTACTGCTGGCTGGAGCGAAGCAGAGCCGGGATCCTGCTGCTGCTACCGGCTGCGAGCTCCGCAGAAAAGTAAGTTCTCGCCCCGGGAGGGCGAGGTGCGGGCGGACTTTACCCGGCGCGGGACGGAGGGGGAGCCCGACCTCGTCCCGCAGAGCTGGGAGGCTTGGAAGGGGAGTTTGCCTTTCGGGAATCCGAGGGGGAGGGCGCGCGCCCTTCCCACTGTCCGTGCCTGTAAAGGAGGCTGAGGAGCTCCTGAGCTGTATTCATCCTGGCAGGCTTTTCCGCGTAGAGCGGTGGAAAGCCAAACGGCCGGGTAGGACTTTTGGTTTTGACCGAGTTTTGCGGACGAGGCGAGGGCAGGCTTGCACGAAGGCGTGCTGAAGCCGGACCTGGCACGTCCTGCGCGCAGGCGAGGCTTCCTCCCTTCAAGCCACAGTTGGTGGCAAATCCCCAGCGCGATCCTGTGCGTGCTTTATGAGTCAGTGCGAATAAATGGCGCGCTCTCATAGAGATGTCACCTTGGGACGTTGGAGGGGATCTGTCAGAAACGCTTTAGAAGTGCTTTGGTTCAGGAAAGCTTACGAGGGCAGTCAGCGCCTGGGCAGATAGATACGTGCTTACCAGGGAGTAAGTC